TGAGACTTTTTTAAATAGTAAGGTTTTACAGTTTTTTTTAATTTTCCGTTCTCTGTGGAGGCATGTAAGAAAAATAAGTTTAATTTAAGAATTCAAGGTAACACTGGGTGAAATTCTTTTCCCACTTTGACAAAATATTTTATTAAAGTAATTACTGATGATGCGTTGCGCCTTTGACCAAATCTACACATGAATTAGTAAAGATTAGGATCAAGCAGTGAGATTTGAGAGAGAAAACATTAGGCTGTAGTGATTGATGAGTTGCCTGTGTGGCTGACGGAGCCGCAGACATGCATGGAACTGTAAATAGACACTTGATTGATATCACTCCATTGTGCAGTCTGGGGTTATGGTTGAATTTCTTCTTCAGGGTGAAGTGGCATCATTACTCAAAGCTGTGTGGGCTCAGCTGTCTCCAGAGGTGCTGCACCAATTGATGCCAGGGTCCAGGGTTTAGGTTTTGAAGGGTTTTTCAGAGAGAAATCACATTAAAGTAAATCTTGATGTTGTGACTGTTGATGCTTGTGTTTAAACATCTTAAGGCGTTCTCATCTTTTACGGCTTTGCCTAAAACAAATGAATAAAACATCGCTCTGTCATTCCCTTTCTCAAACTATCCAATTGTTCTTGCTTATTAAACCTGACTGTCATCTTTAACCACATGTGGTTTTGTTTCTCCACAGAGTGCCGTGATGTGTTGTTACCCATGATGCTGCGGGAGCTGAGCGGGGCACTGGCCAGTATGGCTGACGGGCCTCATGATGAGAGGAGAAATAGCCTGGAGCTGCTCAACAACATTCTGGAGGTCCTGAGCAGAGACAATGTGGTGAGACGCACCGCAAAGTTTATAGTAAAGAACGCACAATGCCAATGCTCACACATGGCATGGAATTGCATTCTGGGTGACTGATTCAAATTCAGTGTAGTTTTAACATAAGTTTATGTTTATGTGTTTGTCCATGCTGTTGCATATACTGTAGTATGACAAACTGCCAATCCCAGCTTCTATTGTTCCTATTTATTCCTCTCTCTCTCTCTCATACAGTATGTCACCTAATTTCTTGTATTTATTTACACCTTCTTAAGGTTGTCTGTGTAGCTCTACTCAATATGCAAACAGCAATCCCATTCATGTTTAGATTACCACGGTAGCTGTATGGCTATACGGTTGCAGTTTCCACGGATATCATCAAATGCCAGTGGAAAGCAAAATCAGACCCGAAGTGGTCATTTGAGGAGCAACTCAAGTGCCAGGAGCAAGCAGAAAATACACCAGTTTTATCTAGACACAATCTGCATACATAAAAGTATAAACAGGACACAATCTGCATACATAAAAGTATAAACAGGTCACAATACCTCCTTCTTACAAAGCATTTGTATCTCCCCCTGGCGTAATCATGTGTTTAATGAACATTACTGCAGTGGTCCTTGCAGAAACACCTGGTGGAGTTCTACGCTCTACTGAGTACACGTTTCTAGTTATTGGGAAAGTGTTCAAATAAAAAAAATTATCTATTCCATGAATTAGAAAACATATCCTTTTATCTTTTTAGCATCTCTGTGCCACCCCAGTGCAACCAGTCTCCTAAAGAGTAAAGTAAAGTTGTTGAAAACCTGCTTAGTCTTTTAAGTGAAGGTGCGGCTTTCTTCAGCTCGATGGCTATCACTATTGAAGCATGAGCCAAGAGAGGAGAAACTATAAGAGTAGAGAGAGTAGTAATAAATGTTGTGGAGTAAATATGATGAGACACACGGATTGATAGAATGTTGTGCTGTGTGGTTTTCTAAAACCTGACTGAGTCTGTGTCTGTCTGTGTCTAAGAATTCTTTAGGTTGTTCATTAACTAACTTCAGCTAAAACACATAGTGTAGTAGTTACACTATGTAGTAGTTAATCCTGTAGTTATTAACAACTGAGGGATCCCCCCCTTTCAGTAAAGGGAGAGCACAGGCAGATTTCCATATGTTAGGAATCTCATGGTTGAATTGACAACGATTAATAATGTCCCAAATAATAGTCAGAGCTTCTGCTATAAAGTCTACAGCTAACTTGTAAAAGTGAGGATCACGCTTGACAGGACTTAAGGATTTGTTAGGATCAAGTTGCTTTAAGGCTCTGTGGACCTCTATCACATCAAGAGGAGTACAATCTAAGTTTTGAGCCATGGAATGAGTTTGTTTGTGGTGAAAGAGTGAGCTCCCTGCTTATCAGGCTGTTGTGGATCTGGACATAAAGACTCGTATAAGAAACCTGAAGAGACACAATTGTCATTAAAGCAGTTAAGAAAGGAGAAATGATGTCAGTTAGAGTATGTGAGTCTTTCACAATGCAGACTGGCAACTCATTTGTAACCTTTGTAACTCTTTATGCTGCATAGTTTTTTGTAAAACCCAGACACACACACACACACACACACACACACACACACAGGTGTGTGTTTTCTTTTTTTGTTGAAGTAAAGGCCAGAGAAATGAAAACTGCTCATGGCCATGCAGGGAGTATTGGAAAACAGGAGCAAGACAGAGAGTTAACAACTCAACAGATGGAGGTAAATGTGTTTATGTCATCGACAATAACATGGAGGGATTTTACAAGACAACAGGGAGCTGTAGAGATGATGAAATTGGAACGGGAAATATAGAAAATAGAGGAGGAAGAGGTGATGACAGACTGTCACCTCCTTGCCCTCCATCTCTCATTTTCTGCATCTTCTCTCCTTTGTTTTTCATCCGTCTCTTCATCTCTCTCTTCCTCGCTCTGGGTGGTACCCGATTAAGTCGTCACACCACAGATGTCTCCAAACTGGAGAGAGAGATGAAGAAAGGGAAACAGAGATGAGAGAGATGATTCCGCAATAGACAGATGCTCATGTCTGTGGGAGAGTTTGTGTTGAATTTATAAGTAACTTGTGTGTGTGTGTGTGTGTGTGTGTGTGTGTGATAAAGAGATGATGCTAACAGTCAGACAGGAACACATGACTACCAAGGCTCTCTCGCTTTTTTCTTTCCCCTACCCCCGAGACGATGTATTCCTTTTCACATCACGTCGTCAGTAGAGATGATAAACCAGTCTGGCTTCAGTTTGGAATATATGAACAGCATCATGGCTCACCTCTCGTCTTCCTGCTCTGAGACAACTGTCTGAAAAACTTTCCAGGAAACCAAAATACCCACACACAACCTGGCCACATGTTTGCAACAAGTGCTGGACTGCAAGTGGAACCTGCCATAACTTTAACTTGTATACATATTTAGCTACCAATCCCACT